AGATAGCTTTCTCGTCGTGAACTTTTTTGAGTTCTTGCATGCTATCAATGCCAGTCAAGGCGAAGGCTGCCGCTTGTGATACACCGACTTTGCACGAGCCACTGAAATCACGAGCAATAGTCGTAAAGAACACGCGCTCGCCTGTGTTCTCCACCACAGAGTCGGCTGGCTCCGGTTCCTCAAGCCTCATCCCATTGACCTGCAACAAGAGTGGCAAGTTTGCATTCGGATCATCCGACGCCATAGCCAGAAAGGCACAGCAGGAGAGGAGTGCTTCTCCGGTGAGAATCTGCGAAGCCTGGTCTGGATCCCAAGTACCCGCATGAGCGGTGGTCAGCTGCTCCCGGTCCATCGCGAAGTCTTGAGTGGCTGCTAAGTCGTGTAGTTGAGTCATTCTGGGACAAGAGCATGCGAAATCCACCACGCGATCTTGCGACAAGTTCAGCTCCAGTTTGCCGTCGAATTTGCCCGCCACGTTGAGAAACAGCAGCGGTTGTCCTTTGTGAGAGCGACAAAGCTCTATGTTGGTGGATCCCCAGACTGCAATCACAGCCTCCGCTGTCTTGGAGTTACTCGTCTTTGTGCCGTCGACCAGATGTACACTTGCCACTGGAAGGTGGCCAGCGGGACTGCGGGTTTCTGAAACAGAATGAACCACAGCCATGACATCGAAGCAACGCTGCGATTTGATGTTCATCATGTCTGCCACTGTAGTCGCTGGAGCCGGCGCCGATGCCAAGGAGGTCTCCTCCGGAGAGCTTTTGAGCACTGGAGTGCAGGTTGCGCGCTCGAGGTCGACCACGACACGAACAGACGTATGCACAAAAGCGTCCTGCTGCCGACTGCCCAGGCCGACGCTGGAGAGTTTCCACGCCGTCATCGGAGGGAACTTTTTCAGAGCAGCTTGGACTTCTGCTGGAGTTCCTTTGAGGATGGCCTCACAATAGTGCTCTGAGTCTGTGCCAAGCAGAATGTATGTGAATCGGTTTGCATGGACTAGCTGGCCATTGTTCCTGCTCTTGTACGAGTACTTGATCTCCCTGGGCTTGTATACTCGGACAAGGAAGTCTTGGGTTTTGGCGCTGCTCTTCGTGAGAAAACCCAGTGGAGACGTCGGCTGTTCTGCAGCAGCAGCCATGGTAGCTCACCCGGAGGATCACCGTGGAGCGCACAGTGACACATGCTGAGAAGCACCGTGCACGGCACGGCGAGACTGGGTGAGCGGATGCGGACAAGGCTCGCTTTTGCTCGTTCTTTGAACCAGAACGGCAATGATTACAGAATTTCAAAGTTACAAGTGATGCCTCCACGAAGCACCCCCCTGTGGAGTCGAGAAAGCGTGTTGCTGTATGTGTGCGTGACTCGATGGATGTGATGTGTGTGCCGTGTGGCCCCGCCCCAAAAAATGTTTCGGCCTCTCAAGGCCCCCCCCGCTCCACGAATCCCATTGGGGGGTCGAGATCCCCGCTCTGGTGGGCGGAGACGCCAAAGGCTTCGAAAACCGCGAGGGAGGGAAGGATAAGGGAGAAGAAAAGGACGGAGAGGGAGGGCTCGGAGGCCCTTGGAGGGGGGGATGTGCCCATCCGAGGGAACGGTGCCCCCCCCCCTCCCCGTCGTGAAAACGAGGCACCAGCCGTGGCAACGACCCCCCCCCCATCCCCCCCCGCGACCTGAGTAGACCACCCAGGCCAGCGGAGGACGTCATAGGGGGCGGGGGTTCTGACTTCGATGAAAGAAGAAGGAGGAAAGCGGGGGGCAAGGATCAGGCAGACGAAAGCCCTTTTAGGCTTTACCCGGCGTGTGGAAATGCCCTTTTTGGCTTTTGCGGGGACTAACCCGCGCGGTCGCCCGCAGGCGACAGGGCGCCCGGGCCCTCTCCGCGCGCGCAGGCGCGTGGCAAACTACATGCGCACGATCGCCCGTGGAATCGAATGGAACCGTCCGCGGCGAGTCGTCCGCGGCGACTCAGGACCACGCCGCCCTGGAAGAAGAGGCGCTACAAGGATGCATTCTGCGACGCTGAGATCCCGATGCGACGAGGACGCTGCAGAGAAACATTCTGCGCGCGTACGCACGACCTGGAACGACAAGCACAATACGGGAACAAATTCGGTGACGCTGGAGTCCCCGATGAGACGAAGAAGCAGCAGAGACACGTCTCAAGGCGCAGCAACACCGAAGCGACGCAAACGCACCCCGCGACACGACAAGGACGCTGCAAGAAGAAACTCGGCGACGCAGGAGCGCGTGGAAGCTACAAAGGCATGGAAAGGAGGCTACGAGGAAACTACAGAGCATTCAAAGCGTCTCGAGCTTAGGGAGCCTTCCGCAGAGCCCTTGTGCGCACGACTTTGGCCGAAGGCCATCATATATGCAAGTACAACAGTTCATGCAGGAATCTCTTGTGCATGTGTTGGTGCCACTGCTGCGAGCAGGCAGTGGAACGAGCGAGGAGGGGGTATCAACCTTGACCGCCGGCCCCCGCCCCCGTCCCTTGACCGCGCTCCGCGGCCAGGCGCAAGCGCGGCCGGTCGGGGCAGCCGGCCGGGGCAGCCGGCCGGGGCAGCCGGCCGCCCTCCCCTCCTGCTCGTCCTCCTCCTCCTCCTCCTCCTCCTCCTCCTCCTCCTCCTCCTGCTCGTCTTCTTTCTCCTGCTCCTCCTCCTCCTCCTCCTCCTCTTTCTCCTGCTCCTCCTCTCTTTCTCAGGCTCCTCCTCCTCCTCATCCTCCTCATCCTCTCCTCCTCTTCCCTTGCTCGTCCTCGTTTCGTCGTCCTCGTCAAGTGCTCGTCCTACTCCTCATCTCCTCCTTCCTCCTCCCCCTCCTCCTGGTGGTCCCTCGTTATCCTCCTCCGGTGGCTCTCCCCCCCCCTCCTCCTCCTCGTCCTCCTCCTCCTCCTCCTCGTCCTCCTCCTCCTCTTCCTCCTCCTCCTCCTCCTCCTCCTCCTTCTCCTCCTCTTCCTCATCCTCCTCCTGGTAGTCCTCCCCCTCCCCTCCTCCTCCTCCTCCTCCTCCTCTTCCTGGTCGCCCTCGTTCTCGTCCTCCTCGTCTTGCTCGTCCTCCTCCTCGTGATGTTCTCTCCCCCTCCTCCTCCTCCTCCTCCTCCTCCTCCTCCTCACCCATCTCTGCTCCTCCTCCTCCTCCTCCTCCTCCTCTTTCTCCATGCTCATCATCCACTCCGTCATTATCCTCCTCCTCTCCTCTTGCTCGTCCTCGTTCTCGTCGTCCTCGTCTATGCTCGTCTCTCCTCCTCCTCCTTCCTCCCCTCCTCCTCCTTCCCTCCTTCTGGTGGTCCTCGTTCTCCTCCTCATGGTGCTCTCCACCCCCCTCCTCCTCTGGTCCCTCTCTCCCTCCTCCTCCTCGTCCCTCCTCCCTTTCCTCCTCCTCCTCCCTCCTCCTTTCTTCCCTCCTCCTCCTCATCCTCTCTCTTTCTCTCTTTCCTCTTCCTTCCCGGTAGTCATCCCCCTCCCCTCCTCCTCCTCCTCCTCCTCCTCTTCCTGGTCGCCCTCGTTCTCGTCCTCCTCGTCTTGCTCGTCCTCCTCCTCGTGATGTTCTCTCCCCCTCCTCCTCCTCCTCCTCCTCCTCCTCCTCCTCCTCCTCCTCCTCCTCCTCCTCCTCCTCCTCCTCCTCCTCCTGGTGGTCCTCGTTCTCCTCCTCCTGGTGCTCTCCCCCCACCTCCTCCTCCTCGTCCTCCTCCTCCTCCTCCTCCTCGTCCTCCTCCTCCTCTTCCTCCTCCTCCTCCTCCTCCTCCTCCTCCTCCTCCTCCTCCTCCTCCTCCTCCTCCTGCAGTGAGTGAATGCAGTGGCACGATTGAATGCAGTGGACTGCAGTGTCACTAGCAATTCCTGAAGCGTCTGGCTATTCAAAATGTGGCCCGGGAATGGAGTTCTGGGAACTCGAAGACCAGAAGTGGCCTACAGTTGGCTCCGGGCATCCAAAATGTGGCCCGGGAATGGAGTTCTGGGAACTCGAAGAGCACGAAGTGTGTGACTGTTGCATCCGGGCATCCAAAATGTAGCCCGGGAATGGCGTTCTGGGATGTCGAAGAGCACGAAGTGTGTGACTGTTGCATCCGGTTATTCTAAATGTGGCCCGGGAATGGCGTTCTGGGATCTCGAAGAGCACGAAGTGTGTGTGACTGTTGCATCCGGGTATTCAGAATGTGGCCTGGGAATGGAGTTCTGGGAAGTCGAAGAGCACGAAGTGTGTGACTGTTGGTGAAAAACGAGCCCGGCACCCTGCCGCCCGGCAACTCCCCAACACCTGCCCGGACCCCCCTGTGGAGTGATCTGTGAGCTCTTTCGAGTCAACTAGAAACCTATCAGTCTTCGCTGTTAGGTAAATACCAGGAAATCGTCCCCAGACCATTTTTGATTACAAACGCCCGACTTACACCTCGTCGCGGCCGCTCGACACATCTCGCAACGCGCACAGCTCAGCACGCAGCGCCAGCTGCCACTGCAACCGCCGAATGGCCCCATCCGCAGCGACCGCCGCCGCAGCCCGCGCCGGCAGCCCGCGCCGTGCGCCGCGCCTGGGCGCCCAACGAGGCCACCTCCGGGGGCCTCGTCCCGTGCAGACGTCCAAACAGGCGACCGCGCGAGGAGCGCGCTCGCGAGCCGCTGGAGCTCAAGCGGCCACGGAAGGGGGAGGGGGAGGGGAGGGGGAGAGAGGCGTCCGGCACAGGCAAGAAGAGATGAGCAGCGGGCACATGGTACGACACGCAGACGTCGGGCAGTGGGGGGAGGTGGGGAACACAATCTATCACAAAACGTGTATCAACCAACGGCTGTGAAAATTTGTAGGGGGTAGGGTCAAGCGTCGGGGATGCGACATCACTGACGCGACTCACGAGGTCGCGACAAACCTCGGGCGACATCACAAAACATCAAGGCCGAACGATTTGGAACGGAAGATAAACAGCAGAGAGAAGATCAGACGAGGAGGAGGGGGAGGGAGGGAGGCAGGGAGGACAGGGTGCCCCGAACCCGCACCCCGCCGCTCCTGGGGATACTCGGCGACGCGCCCGCTGATGCCGAAGAGGGCGGTGCGCAGCTCCCTTCTGGCAGGGTCCGAGCCGTCGACCTCCTCGAAGGGAACGCCGGTGGCCTCCGCGGAGATGGGCAAACTGGGGACCCCACGCAAGACGTACGCTCAGGTCGGGCACGTCCCCCTGCAGGCGGATCTTGGTCGAAAAATAACAATGGCCAACAGCAATACTCAACATTAATCAGAAATCGTCACACAAAAAACATCCCCTGATTATTTTACTAATTTTGAATATTCCTCCTGTAGAGGGACAGGCCCGACCTAAACGTACGCGCCCAGCCGCGTACACGGATACGGCCCAGCCCCCAGGTCCGCGAGGCCAGCCGCGTGTCAAGGGAACGTTCGCACAGTGCGCACTTCCGAAACCAGCGTGGCATCGATGCGTGTGTGTGTGTTGTGTGTGTGGTGTGTGTTGTGTGTTGTGTGTTGTGTGTTGTGTGTTGTGTGTTGTGTGTTGTGTGTTGTGTGTTGTGTGTTGTGTGTTGTGTGTTGTGTGTTGTGTGTTGTGTGTTGTGTGTTGTGTGTTGTGTGTGTGTGTGTGTACGTCCTGCTGTCGCCCCTGGCGAACGAGTCGAGGATCGAGGATCGCGGGTCAGGGATCGAGGTCTCGAGGGAGATCGGAGGGCTCGAGCATCTGGCCTCGAGGGTCGAGGTTCGGGGATCGAGGGATCGGGGGTTGAGGATGCAGCATCGAGGGTCGAAGGCCGAGGACCGCAGGTCGAGGGAGGCTCGAGGCTCGAGGCTCGAGGGTCCAGCGTCGAGGACCGGGGCCCTCAGCGCTGGCGGCCCCCTGCGGAGGCTGGCGGGCGGAGGCCCAGATCCCCGAGAGCGTGACTTTCCCCTATAGATGTTCCGATGACGGGGGAGAGGGGGGCGCACAGCAGAGGCATGGGCCAGAGGGCTCCAAAGGGGGCTTTGGGGAAGGGGCTTCTCCAGGAGGGGTCCCCCAGGGGCTTCGCACCCTCTGTTTTGACAAGGTTCCGAGGCCCCTGGGGGGGCTCTCTGGAAAACCCCCTCCCCAAAAACCCCCTTTGGAACCCTCCGGATGGGGAAGAGGCTGGCGAGGACCTGTGGAGGGAACCACGACTACCGAGCACTCCCCCTCTCCCCCACACTCAAAGTCGGCACGCGCGGAAGAGTTAACGGTCGAGGTGCAACTCATCAGACCCACCGCCAAACTGGACTGTTGGGGGCGAGGGGGAGGCATTGACCAAATGCATGTGGCATGAGAGTTCGCTATTTTTGTTCCGAGTCCTGTGCGGCACGAACGAGAAAACGGTTGCGTTTGAAGCCCGTTCGGAATCGTTATTGTCCTGACGCCGGCAGTGACCGTTCTGTTCTTTCCCGGGTAACAGTCGTTGCCGGGGTGGGGGTCGGGCGGGAAGGTAACAGGAACGGCGGCCGTGGCGTGCACCCGCCAAGGTGCGTCCGCGCCACCGGCGCATCAATTGCCCGTGTGTACCACATCATGTAGGGGGGGGGGGGGGGCACCACCACCCCCGGTACGATCGTTAGCGCTACCCCGGGGGAGGGGGAGGGGGTTTGGCCTGGGTGACGAGCATTACCCTGGGGAGAACAACTGGCATGGCCAAGGCCTCAACCATATGCAGTTGCGAGTAACGCAGCTGCAAGTATCGCCTTCGGTGGAGCTACCTATGGGGCCAAGAAGGGTGTTCGAGGGGTGTCGAAATGGGCGGCGGAGACGCATGCGGGCACCGCCACTGGGGCCTTCGGTGGAGCTCACTATGGGACCACGAAACGTGTGAGAGGTGTGCCCAAATGACTGGCGGGGGCGCATGCAAGCTGCGCCACGGGGACCTTCGGTGGACCTCCTATGGGGCCGCGAAACGTGTGAGGCGCATGCCGAAATCGGCAGCGGGAACGCATGCGGTCTGCGCCGCTGGGACCTTCCGTGGAGCTTCTCTAGGGCCACGCAACGTGTGAGGGATGTGTCACAATGGGAAGCGGGGACGCATGCGGGCTGCGCCAGTGTGCCACTTGGATGTGAGCAGTGTGTCAAAATAGATGGCGGGGACGCGTGCGGGCTGCGCAACTGGGACCTTCGGCGGAGCTCCCTACGGGGCCACGAAACGTGTCAGGGGTGTGTGAAAATGGGTGGCGGGGACGCATGCGGGCTGCGCAACTGGGACCTTCGGCGGAGCTCCCTACGGGGCCACGAAACGTGTAAGCGGTGTGCCGAAATTTGTGGCGGGGACGCATGCGGGCTGCGCCACTGAGACCTTCGGTGGGGCTCCTATGGGGCCACGAAGCGTGTGAGGGGTGTGCCGAAAGAGGTGACTTGGACGCATCTGGGCTGCGCCACTGGGACCCTCGGTTGAACTCCATAATGGCCACGGAACGTGTGCGAGGTGTGCCGAAATGGCTGGCGCGGACGCGCGTGCGGGCTGCGCCACGGGGACCTTCGGTTGAGCTCCTATGGGGGTCACGAGGCGTGTGAGGGGTGAACCGAAACAGAGACATACGGAGGGTAGAGGCACGGATTGGAAGAGAGAGGAGGAAGGAGGAGAGCAGACGCGGGGCACTGTCTGTTCAAAACGAAGACCCCAGGAAGAATATTAGCATGGCGAAGGACCAAACCATATGCAGTTGTGAGTAACGCAAGTGTGGCCCATCGTCTTCGGTGGAGCTCCCTATGGGGTCAATGAGGGGTGTACCGAAATGGGTGGCGGTGGCGCATGCGGGCTGCGCAACTGGGACCCTCGGTGGGGCTCCTATAGGGCCACGAAGCGTGTGAAGGGTGTGCCGAAATGGGTGGTGGGGGCGCATGCGGGCTGCGCCACTGAGACCCTCGATGGACCTTACTACGGGACCACAAACCGCGTGAGGGGTGTGTCGAAATGGGCGGCGGGGACACTTTCGGGAACCGTCATTGGGGCTTTTGCCCTAGCTTCCTATGAGGCCACGGAACGTGTGCGGGGTGTGCCACTGGGACCTTCGGTGGAATTCCTCCCATGGGGCCACGCAACGTGTGAAACGTGGCGGGGACGCATGTGGGAACCGTCACTGGGGCGTTCGGTCAAACTACCGATGGGGCCACAGAACGTGTGTGGGGTGTGCCGCAATGGGTGGCGGGGACGCATGTGGGTGCCGCCCTTGGGACCTTCGGCGGAGCTCCTTACGGAGCAACGAAACGTGTACGGGGCGTGCCGCCATGGGGCCAGGAAGCGCGTGAGAGGTGTCCCCAAATGGGTGGCGCGGATGCGTGCGGGCTGCGCCACCTGGACCTTCGGCGGAGCTCCTCCTACGGGGCCACGAAACGTATGAAGGGCGTGTCAACATGGGTGGTGGGGGCGCATGCAGGCTGCACCACGGGGACCCTCGGTGGAGCTCCAATGGGGAAACGAAGCGTGTGCGGGTTGTGCCCAAATGCGCAGCGGGGACGCATGCGGGCTGCGCAACTGAGACCTTCGGGGGAGTTCCCCACGGGGCCACGAAACGTGCCAGGGTGTGCCGAAATGGGTGGCGGGGACGCATGCAGGCTGCGTCACGGGGACCCTCGGTGGAGCTCCAATGGGGCCGCGAAGCGTGTGAGGGGAATGCCGAAATGGGTAGCGGGGACGCATGTGGGCTGCGCCACTGGGACCTTCAGTGGAGCTCCCTATGGGGCCACAAAACGTGTGCGGGGCGTGCCGACATTGGCCACGAAACGTGTGAGGGGCGTGCCGAAATGCGTTGCGGGGACGCCTGCGGGCTGCGCCACTGGGACCTTCGGTGGAGCTCACGATGGGGCCACGAAACGTGTGAGGGGTGTGCCGACATGGTGCGTGGCGGGGACGCATGCGGGCTGCGCCACTCACTGGGAGCCTCGGTGGAACTCTTATGGGGATCACGAAACGTGTGAGGGGTGTGCCGAACTGAGTGGTGGGGACGCATGCCAGCTGTGCCACTGGGACACTCGGAGAAGCTCCGAGGGGTGCCACGAAGCGTGTGAGGGGTGTGCCGACATGGGTGGCGTGGGCGCATGCGGGCTGCGCCACTGGGGCCCTCGGTTGAGCTCCGATGGGAATCACGACTCGTGTGAGTGGTGTACCGAAGTGAGGGGGGTGACGGGAGGAGGGGGGGATGAGGAAGAGAAGAGGAAGAGGAGGAAGAGGAGGAACTCGGTGACTTTCTCTTCAAAACGAAGACACAACAACAGGTCGGTTGGGGAAAAACGCTCACGCGGCGTCTCTGGGAACTGCAGCCTCCCGGGGGCTGTTCGTCGGTGGGACAAGGGGCTGCGGTACCGACGGAAATGCTACAGATCAAGGGCACGTGGATTCCGACAGAGCAGTTCACATGTGAAGACGTTCGCGGGATGGGCGGAGATATTCAGATGAATAGCCCCGAGGGGCAATCGGAGTCGCCAGCTTGGAGGCGGCAGCAAGGGCAAGAGAAGGTGAATGATACCCTCGCCCGTGGCCGCGCTCCTGTTCTGGACACTCAGAGGGCTCGTCAGCATGCTGCCTGCACGCCTGACATCTCCTGAGGTCGTTTCCAGCTTCCCCCTTCTTTTCCTATGGCTCATAGGGCCCCTCTCTCTGCCACTTCTTAGCCTTCTGAGGAACGGCGCTTACGCCTCCTCAAATAGCTGAAACAGTCGGTAGGGTCGTCGGGGGCTTCAGGGGCCGTCTGTTTCTAGACTGACTCTCAGACGGGAATCAAGCAGCAGCATGGCTGCCGATAGGCGAAATGACGACAGGGGGTCAAGCAAGGACTCGAATCCCCAGCCCGAGCCACAGTTTGTTCATAGCAGTTACAAGCGGTCTTGGGCTTGAGAACTAAACTGAACTCATCCTCCTCCTCCTCCTCCTCTTCCTCCTCCTCCTCCTCCTCCTCCTCCTCCTCCTCCTCCTACTTGACGATGCTGTGAACGTCGTCGACGACTTTGTCCTCCTCCTTCTCCTCCTCCTCCTCCTCCGCCTCCGCCTCCGCCTCCTCCGCCTCCTCCTCCTCCTCCTCCTCCTCCTCCTCCTCCTCCTCCTCCTCCTCCTCTTATCAGACGACGACGACGTCTGCACAGATGGGGCGGAGCGCAGAGGCGGAGGAGGAGGACGAGGAGACAGGAGGGAGAACGAGGGAGGAGGAGGAGTAGGAGAAGGAGGGAGGAGGAGGAGGAGGAGGAGGAGGAGGAGGAGGAGGAGGAGGAGGAGGGAGGAGGGAGGAGAGGAGGAGGAGGAGGAGGAGGAGGCAGGAGGAGTGAGGAGGAGGAAGGAGGAGGAGGCTGCGGGTCAGGCGAGCCCCCCCCCCAGGTTGGTAGAGACGTGGAGTGCTGAGGTCACTCAGAGCGGAGGTGAGAGTAAGGACGAGAGGAGGACGTTTTTTTTTTTTGAGGAGGAATGTGAGGCGGAGGGGAGGAGGAGAGGAGGGGAGGCGAGGCGGCAGTACCTGGGGACAACGGAGAAGAAGGGAAGAGGGGGATGGGGGGGATCAGCACACCAGGAGGGAGGATTTAGGATTTGATTTAGGATTTTTTGGAAATTGACGATGGGGGAGGAGAGCGATAGCAGAGCGAGAGAAGAGCATCCTTCTCCTCCTCCGATGACGGCGACGATGTGGTCCTCCTGCTCAACGGCATCGTCGTCGTCTTCGTCGTCGTCCTCATCCTGGACCGCCGGGGCCTCCAGGATGTCACGAACCTGCCCGATCTTCGCCAGATTCGCGGCGTTCGTCAGGTTGGCGGAGAGCAGCACGCACCGCGCGCGAGGCCTCGCCCGCAGAGAGGGGGGGGGAGAGGAGGATGGGGGAGAAAAGTGTTTCGGCATAAAAGGACCCCTACCCCTCTTGGGAGGCGACCTGCTTAGGAGGGCCAGGGACATTAGGGATAGGGGGTCTTTTCTGCGGATGTATTGGGCCAAGCCGCCCAGATGTATTAGCCCTAATGCAAAAAAAACCTCAGTGAGGCCACGTCTTTATCGTATTATTAGGGTTAGGGGTTATGTCGTCCTCGATGAAAACAGGATGAGAAGAAACCGGGAGGGCGGACGATCAGTCCGCATCGAATCGGTAAATCGGATCCAGACGACTTGTGCATCGCATCGGATTGTCAAAATATCGGAACGGATCGGGTCGGGCCAGCGAACATCGATATCGAATCAGATAGATCGGATTGACATAGATCTTGGAGGACGGTCCAGGATGAGAGGAGCGGCAGCGTACGGACGATGAAAAGGCACGGGTCTTACGCACGCTGACAAAGCGACCTTACGCGGTGGCTTACGAGGGCCGCCGGCGCGGCACGCTACAAAGGAAACGGCTTCGCTTACGCACGACATCACGCGGGCAACTTCCGCGCCAATGCCCGTGCAGACAACCTTGCTTCCTGAAGGCGTTCATGTGCAGGCTTCCGGAGACCGGAAGACCAAAAATGTTGCCCTCTCTTTGCGGCACACTCTTTACTTCCGCCGCCGTCCGCCGCCATGCGCCAAGAGAGAGATACCAACTCCTTCGAGCCTGGAAGGCGAGGACATGGCCGCTGTTGGCACGCTCTGCGTGCCCGCTTGCCGCTGCGCGGTCTGCGCAGTGGCGAGACTCCGCCTGCTTTGCGCTCCGCCTCCGCTGCTGTGGAGTCGGCGCGGCGCAGGTGGCAGGCCAAAGCTGCTCACTCATGGCCTCACAGGGGGGGGGAAAAAAACACCCTTTGGGGAATGCCTCGTGTGGGGGGCGGGTCAGATAGGCGGCAAGGGGGCGGGCGGGCTGCCAAGGGCTTGGGTCGGGCATGTCCCCCTACAGGCGGACTTCGGGTGAAAAACCACAGATCCTCAAACACATACTCCGAAAGTGCAAAAAAAACAGTAGAAACATCGCCCCCTGACTGTTTTGACTGACTATTTCTGGATGTGCGCGGGACCGTGCCCGAACCAACACGAGGCCGAGCGTGCGGACCCTGACGGGCGGGCTGCGCGGCTGGGCCCCAGCGGGGCGGGGGCGGGCGGGCGGGCCCGAACGGGCGGGGCGGGGCGGGCGGGCGGGGGAGGAGGCAGGAGAGGGGGACGAGCAGGAGCGGACGAGGCGCATAGGGGCGGGGACGCGCGAACGGGGGGGAGGAGGGGAGGCGACCTCCTCCCTGTCCTCCTCTTCCTCCTCCTCCTGCTCCTCCTCCTCCTCCTCCTCCTGTCGCCATCGCTCTCCTCGTCCTCCCTCCTGCTCCTCCTCCTCCTCCTCCTCCTGCGCCTCCTCCTGCTCCTCCTCCTCCTCCTCCTCTTCCTCTTTGATGCCCGTCATCGTCGTCGTCATCGATCGTCGCTGTCCTCTCGATCTTCAGGCTCGGCGTGGACGTCCAACCGCCACGGGGCCTCACCGCAATTCGGGCCCCTTGCTGGCCCAGTCCCGCGCGGGCACATCGCCTGCTCCCGCCGACCCAGGAGGCCACGCCAACCAGAACGAGAAGTCGCCTGGACTGGACACCCTCCCCTCTCCCGGGCGGTGGGAAGGCTTGGGCCTTTCGATTGGATGCCTTCCCGCTCGTAGGGGGCCTTTTCGTTGGTGGGGGAAAGGGGCTCGGCGCCTCCCAGACCCCTGCGTGCTTCCCATCTCCTGGGCCGTGGGAATGCACGGCCCCGGCGTGCGAGGGGAAGGAGACCTCGGTCCACGTCGCTCCGTCGTGCTGGGCGCTGGCTTCTGGGCCCGTGGACCGTGCAACCCTGAACGGTCCCGGCTCTGCGACAGCGCAGATCGTTCAACGTCGGTGCTGGGGCGGGGGGGGGCGGCCTGCCAAGGACTCCCCCCCTGCCGCCTCGGAGCCCGACGACGACCGACGACGACGGCGGCGGCGGCGGCGGCGGCGACGGCGACGACGACCGACGACCGACGGCGACGACCGACGACGACGAGGACGACCGACGACGACGACGACGACCGACGACGACGACGACGACGACGACGACGACGACGACGACGACAACAACGACGACGGACGACGCCGACGACGAGCCCCTCCGACCTCTTCGAAACAGCTCCCCGCCTCCTCGGGCGGCCGCCCCCCTCTCGCCCTAGAGCCCTCCCGCAGGCCGCCAGCTGGGCGTGCACCGCCGCGTTCTCCTTGTCGCCTGAGAAGCCAGAGGGCCCAGACCGCCTCGAGCCACGAGAAAATCACGACGGGATGGTTTTTTTGCGATTCCGACCTCCCAATGGGGCCCCTACCGGGCCTCGAAACTGTCAAAAAACGGCTCGGGAGGGTTTTAGACCTTTGGGGGTCGATGTTGCGAGAAGAACGTGACGTCGGGGGTCTGGGGGGGGGGACGATGGGGCGGGACCTGAATTATCCCGGCGAAGGACCCAACCATATGAAGTTGTGGGTACCGCAATCGTGAAGATCTTCTTCGGTGAAGCTCCCTATGGGGCCACGAAGCGCTGCGCTGGGCGGGGGGGGGGGACGCATGCGGGCGGTAGCACTGGGGCCGCCGGTGAAGCTCCCTATGAGGCCACGAAACGCTGCACTGGGTGGGTGAAAATACCATATTAAGCGTGTGGGACGCATGCGGGCGGTCCCATTGGGGGCTTCGGTGGAGCTCCCTATGGGGCCGCGAAGCGTTGTAAAAGGTGGGTGAAAATGCCAAATCGGGTGTGGGGTACGCATGCGGGCGGCCCCACTGGGGGCTTTGGTGGGGCTCCGTATGGGGCCACGAAGCGCTGTAGTGGGCGGGTGCAAATGCCAAATTGGGCATGGTGGACGCATGCGGGCGGTCGCATGGGGGGCTTCGGTGGAGCTCCCTATGGGGCCACGGAGCGCTGTACTGGGTGGGTGACAATGCCAAATCGTGTGTGGGGGACGCATGCGGGCGGCCCCACTGGGGGCTTCGGTGGAGCTCCGTATGGGGCCACGAAACGCTGTGATGGGTGGGTGGCAATGCCAAGTTGGGGGTGGGGGACGCACGCGGGCGGTCCCGCTGGGGGCTTCGGTGGGGCTCCCTATGGGGCCACGAAACGCTGTACTCGGTGGGTGAAAATGCAAAATTGGATATGGGGGGCGCATGCGGGCGGTCCCACTGGGGGCTTCGGTGGAGCCTCCTATGGGGCCACGAAGCGCTGTACTGGGTTGGTGAAACGCATGGAAGGAGGAGGAGGAGGGAGGGGAGGAGGATGAGGAGGAGGAGAGGAGGAACGCTGGGCGACGTCTCTTCAAAACGAGGACCCACACCACAGTATGGTTGGGAAAAACTGAGCTGCAATCGGCGATGCATCGCCCATTGATCGGCAATCTGTGCTCTCAGGAAGGCGGAACCGCACTCTCCCGGGCGGGGTGGGATATCGGGCCCCTTATCGTCGATGGGTGGGCGATCTGGTGGTCGATGCCTCCCCCCATGAGCCTACCTCCCTAACGTTGCCCCTGGAGGCTGTCCCAGGGGCCAGTCTTTCATCCTGCTTGGTTGCTTGACGGCCCCAGCCTGCCTCTGCAAGCCTCCGGGAGTCCAAAGACGACGAGCAAATTCCAGGTTGTACGTTTGAGTACGTCGGAGGCCTTGGCAAATTCCAGGATCCGGTCTGGGCACCCTGCAACCGACGGAGGAGCGCCTTCCCATCTTTTACCAATCCTTCCTTGATCCTCCTTCCTTCCTTCTCCCCGAGGTGCCCGTCCGACTGTGGAGGCCTACCTCGAGGGAACCGGCCGTCTGTGTCCACGCCAACACATAACACTCCTCCTCATCCTCCGCCTCTGTCGCCACCTCCTTCGCCTCCTCCTCGTCCTCCTGGCGTATGGCTCGGTCCTCCTCCTCTTCTTCCTCCTCCTCCTTTTCCTCCTCCTTCTTCTCTCCTCCTCCGCCTTTGCCTCCCCCTTTTCCTCCTCCTCCTCCTCCTCCTCCTCCTCCTCCTCCTCCTCCTCCTCCTCCTCCTCCCCCTCCCCCGCCTTCCTCTGCCCCGCAGAGGGCCCTGTAGAGCGCCGCAGCGGCCCTCCCCCCGGCCCCCGCGCACCGTGCGGCCACGTCTTCCTCCGGCTCTCTGCGCGGAGGCTCCTGCGCCAGGAGTGCTGGGCCTCTTTCCCACCACCACCACCATACGTTGAAGGGGGGAGGGGGTCCTCCTCCCTCTTCTTCTTCCTTCTCCTCCTCCTCCTCCCCCTCCTTTCCCCCTCCAACTTATGGTGGTGGTGGTGGTGGTGGAAAACAGGCCCATCAAGGAGAGGAGAGGGGGGGTACCGGCCAGCCGCAACTGGGCGAGCTGTGTTCCAGTCCCTCGGAAGGACACCCTCGGATCGACGACCTCTCGAGGAGGGTGCCGAACTCGACGGGGCCCCAGGGTTTAGGTGGCAGGGGGGGCAAGGCCTACAGCTCCCCCAGCTGCGCCTGGTCTGGGGGAAGGCGGAGGTGCGCACACGTCGACGCCGTCGCCGTCGCCCACGCCGTCGTCGTCGGGCTTTGAGGTTTCCGGGCGCTCTTCTGGCAAACTGCGCGGAGGCTCCTGCGCCAGGAGAGCGAAGGAGAACGGAAGAGGACAAACGTCGACGCCGTCGCCGTTGCCGTCGCCGAGGCCAACGCCGTCGTCGTCGTCGGGCCTCGAGGTTTTCGGGCGTTGCTTGGCCGTTCCTGCGCCTCCAGAGACCTCTGGGGAACCTCCCGAGATGGTGGGCCAATTTCTGCCACCAATTTCCAGAGATGGAAAGCGGCTGTGGCCGCTGGAGAATTTGCGGGAAAACTGCTGGCAAACGAGGTCGTGAACGGCCGTACGGGGCTCGTGTTTGACGCCACCGCAAAAAAAACGTGTGCGCAAATGATGACCAAGACTTCCAGCATCAGGGCGAAAGCCGCGCGCTGCACTGCTAACAAACGATGTCTTCTGAAGAGGCGCTCAAGGCAGCAATAACACCGACTGGAAGCTCTGGGTGGCGCGGCCGGGCACGCTGAACGACAATTCAGCACGCCTCGCGGCACGATGCATGCGACGATGTAGACGGTGCTGGCATCTGTGCCGTTCTACGGGTCGTTTTCCGCACTCGGAGGCTAATGGAAACACAGTGCAGATAGTACAGTTCTGGGGCTCGTGCAGGTCCCCTGGATCCGACCTGGACCCCTCTCTCCCTGGACCCCTTACCCACCGCGCAGAACGCGCCTGGGGCAGCGCAGTCGACGTCGCCATGAGTGCGGGCTGGGGGGGTCCAGCGCCGGCCCAAGACATCGGACCACCGAAAGGAGGGCAGGGCAGTACATAAAAGGAACGTAGCGTTGAGAAAAGAGCTGGGCTGGTGGAGGGGGAGGAGGAGGAGGAGGAGGAGGAGGAGGAGGAGGAGGAGGAGGAGGAGGAGGAGGAGGAGGAGGAGGAGGAGGAGGAGGAGGAGAGGAGGAGGGAGGAGGAGGAGGAGGAGGAGGAGGAGGGGGACGAGGAAGGGGAGGAGGGGGAAGAAAGGGAAAATGACGAGGGCGCGGAGGAGGAGGGGAGGATCGGGAGGACGACGAGAAGCAGCAGCGCTGACAGCAGCAGGAACAAGAGCAGGTGCAGCATACTGAGAAGCAGAAGCGGGCTTGTGGAATCGAACAAGGATGACGATGATGTCAAGGACGGAAGGCCGAGCTGAAAAAGAGTTCGAAAGAGGGACAAGGAACAGGAGGAAGGGGAGAGGGAAACATGCGGACGAGAGAAAGCCGGGCGGGGACCCCTTCGCGCCCTCCCAGCCCGCGCCACAACCCGAGGCTCGGGAGCCCACAACAGAAACGCACGCGCCCGACCACGTACACGAGCGCGGCCCCCCAGCCCGCGAGACCAGCCGCGTGATACCCAACGCTCGTGCATTGCGTGCTCCCGAAGACCAGCTTGGACTCCTGTGCGTGTGCGTCCCTCGCTCGCTCCCGAGGAGGCAAACCCCCAGTGGCCCGCGGCCATGCGATGTTCCAGAAGGCTGCTCTGGACATGGAGCGGTGCCGTCCGAGGACGCGCGGGGCGTTCCCGGGCCCGGCGCCTGGGCGCCGAGCTGCACAGCGGCTGCCGGGAGGGGGCGCCCCCACAGGCCCAGGGCCCAGGGGCAGGCCCGAGGTCCCAGGTCCTGGCGCCCTGAGGAGATGCAGCGGCGTTGAACGACCGCGGCAAAACACGATGGCCACGCCCATCCACCGTACCATGAACCATGGTCGGACCCCCTTCGGGCCCCACTTCAGAGCAGCACGCTGCATGGTGCGTCGGCTGATGGGCAGCAGAACAGTGCCCGCGCCATTCGTGGGTCACCGACGACGCCCCTGGAGACGCCAGCGCGGCACAGAGCACGCTCGCCGTCCGCGGACAAGAGCCCTGGTCCACCAGCCATCCAGGGGACTGGGGAGCCTGGGTAGGAGCGCTGCAGAGGTCAAGTATACCCAAGAAGGCCAAGAGGAGGAGGAGAAGGAAGAGGAGGAGGAGGAAACGCAGGTGCACAAGGGAGAAAGGGGTATAATCATATACGAACAAGCGGCGGCCAACCTGACATGGTTGTTTTGGATATCTTCAGGCCTGCGCGCTCGGTCTCTGTGCCACCTGCCCCCAAGCCCTGAGTTCGCTAACAGACGCCAGGGAAATAAGTTTTCGCCCCATATTCTCTCATCTGATCAATCCAGGGGGGGGTCCCGACATGAGAAAGAGCGCGCTCTGTGCTTGGAGGGGGGGGGTGAAACTGGACCCCCGCCCCCCCAGGATTGAATGGGGGGGGAGGTTCGAACTGCACCCCC